CTATAGTTGCCCGGGTCCTCCTTCCTCCCCTTTTTGAAAATGGGGACCACGTTGGCCCTTTTCCAGTCCTCCGGGACTTGGCCCGTGCGCCACGAGCTTTCAAATATTCCCGTCAGAGGCTCTGCAATGATGTCGGCCAGTGCCTTCAGCACCCTCGGATGGAGCTCATCCGGGCCTGCCGACTTAAAGGCATCCAGTTCTTCCAAATGACTCTGCACCATCTCAGGTCTACGCATGGTAGTCTGGCGCCTTGCTGCTGCCTCTCTACAACCCCAGTGAGAGACTTGTCGTGCCCCTCACTTAGGAACACTGAGGCAAAGAACTCGTTGAGGAGTTCAGCCTTGTACCCCCTGTCCATCACCAATTGTTTCTGCCCATTTAAAAATACTATATTATTACCTTATATGTTATATAAGGAAATAATATAGTATAATAATGTCACCTGAAACCCAGGTTGGAGGATCTTCTTGACATTTCTACTTGAATATTTAGACATACTAAACACAATTTGATGTAGCAAGATGGCACGAGTCAGATAATTATTGTGACAGGACCTCTCAAACAGTAAATAAGGAAACCTTCCCTCTCCTGGGTGAAGGTTTTGCAGCTCCTTGCCTTAAAATATCTCTCTCAGGTTAGTTTTAGGGAAAACCCAAGTGCCTCATTTTTGGAGGAACTTCTCAGAGGCTGCTGCTGCTTCCATCATTGTAAATGACACCATTGCCATTGGCTTCAGTGGGAGCAGCAGCAGGCAAAATTCATGCCCTGGCTTTATGAAGTTATGCACAGACTATACGTATTAGTTACTCAGAGACGGAATGAATCAAACCATTGCTCCATAATCTCCATGGGGCAAGTACATGTCCTATACGTCTGCACAACATCTGGTGCAATGAGGTCTGATCCTGACTGGATTCTTTGGGCACTTCCACAGTGTAAATAATACCAGCAGTAAAACCTACTGTGCATAACCACCAGATGCTGATTTAACTAAAACACTGTGGAAATTCTTTGTGATACAGATCTAAATTAAACAGGCGTTCCACTATAGAACATCCTTAATTTGTAGTACATGGAACTGAAAATGTGCCAAACTGGATAACGTGCCCTGCTTGTTAGCACAATAAAATTTGTGCTGAGTCCAGTATTGCTAGATGTTCTTTAACGAAACTGAATTTACAGAAGGTATTTTAGACTGATGCATCCTGTGGGTAAAATAATCTTGCGGACCATTGGCTTAGGTTCAGGTTCAAAGCTTGCACTGATTAATAGCTGATTAGTTGCTTAAGTACAGAGTGAATCTGATGGTCTCTGTGCTCATTTCAAGCCTGACCCAAAGATTATGGAAGCCATTCAAAGTATTTTCTTTCATTTCAGTGGACTTTTTTTTATGCCTTCACTCCTTTGCTACTTTGCAAGGACTGATAGTTGTCCAAAACACAAAACCGTGTCCAAAACAGAAAGCCATGGAAGCAGCATTGAGACTAAGCTCTAAACTAGATTTGTTCCAGTTCTGAATATGCATATTTTGATTTTACAACTTACTGTGGAAAGTTCAGGTTCCAGCCAACTGTGTTCACTAGACTCTGGGCTATCAAACTGCAGGGTTGTGGTTTGACCGGCATGGATAGCAGACTTGGCTGCTATATTAGCCAAGAGCATAAGCTATTATTGTTGTTTATTTTATGAACTGCAGTAGCATCTAGAGGCTTTAACTGTGGTTAGGGGTTTTATTTTACTTGACAGTGAGCCTTACAGATCTCACAAGAGTCATACCATCTTTAATCAGAAAGGATGAACACCTCCTTCATACTTTGCCTAGTAGCGCCCTCTGGTTTGGGGGAGATCAAGTGGGTAGTGCTATGTGGGGGTGGGCTTTCTAGGAGTCATTATCTTGCAAGGGTAGGGCCAAGACAGCCCCTTCTGGGTGCAGGTAGGGAAGTGAGGTACAGAAAGATTATGGGGCTTGTTCAAGGTCACCCAGAAAAGCTCAGGTTGAGGTGGAACCTGAGTTTAATGCAAATCTCTTGGGTCCATGTCTACCCCTTTAACATATCTTATTCAGCAGCCTGATTTCTACTTACAGAACAGATTATTTACCCAGAAGGGGCTGTCTTGGCCCTACCCTTGCAAGATAATGACTCCTAGAAAGCCCACCCCCACATAGCACTACCCACTTGATCTCCCCCAAACCAGAGGGAGCTACTAGGCAAAGTATGACGAAGGTGTTCATCCTTTCTGATTAAAGATGGTATGACTCTTAATCTAATTTCAGCTGCCCTTGACAGGGAATATGAACCAAACATTAGGTATTAACAATAAAAAAGAAATCTAATAAAATTACTCTCCTTCCACCTGTTTTGGAATACAGGTTTCCCTCGATTTATGCTGTACATGCATTCCCGGAGAAGGGAACATACATTGAATTCATATAAAGCAGGGGCGGGCAATTATTTCAGGTTGAGGGCTGCTTACTGAGTTTTGGCAAGCCATTGAGGGCAGCATGACAGGCAGCCAGGGGCAGATAACTATTAATTTTCTAAATTTTTTAGGGGCTCCATGGGCCAGATAGAATGGCTTGGCGGGCTGTACCCAGCCCATGGGCCGCATTTTGCCCACCCTTGGCATAAAGCAAACATTACATACAATGTAATGAATAGGAATAGGTTCCCATGGCAGTGAGGGAGGAGGGAGGGAGCGAGGCTGGGACTAGGGAACAGATGTGGGGGGAAAGGGGGGAGAGGTGCCACTCCCAGGGCTGCACAAAGCAGCAAAGCAGAGGGAACAGAGCAGCACTCACCCCAGCTCTGGCTGCAGGGGCCCCTGGAGTGGCCGATGCCAGCGGCCTGTAGCCGCTGGGCTTCACTGTGCTCTGCCTGTCCCCACTCACCTCTGCTCCTGGGCTGCGCCATGCCCTTGTGCAAGCAGCTGGTGTCAGCTGCTCCTAGGGCTGCTGTAGCTGGGGCTGGGGTGAGTGCTGTGCCCTGCACCACCTGGGGCTCCGCTTGCCTTGCACTCACCCCAGCCCATGCTGAAGCATCCCCAGGAGCAGCTGACACCAGCTGCCTGCACCATGGCACGGTGCAGCCCAGGAACTGGGGTGAGCTTGGGTGCAGGGGGACAGGTGGTGCACAGTTCAGCCCAGTGGCTGCAAACAGCTGGTGCTGGCTGCTCCTGGGGCCAGGTGAGTGGGGCCATGGCCCTTTCCCCTCCCCCCACAGACTTACCTGCTTGGGCAGGGGGGCATTTATGCTGATCACATACGAGCTAATTTACCTTGCATATAACGAATTATGGGTCTAAATATATGCTCATTGCATAAGAGTGAATTTGCATATAAAGAACCTGCTTAAATCAAGGGAAACTTTTACCAGTGTCAGATTTGGATAGATTGCATAGATTTGGTTTCACCCAGTGCAAACAGTAACTTTGAAAGAAGAAAAAACAAGTATGTAAAATAACTTTGCAATCAAACAAGCCTGGCAATGAACTGGAAAATTTGTTGTTTTCTAAAATATATAAAAAGGGAAGGGGCTGAAATAAAAAAACAGACAAACAGTGTGGGAGTGAATTCTGGATCAGAAACACCTTCTAAGATTAAAAGCAAAGAAACTGCTCTACAAATCTGAATCACTAGGTGGGGCTAAGAACCCAAGCCTTCACTTCGGAAATGCATGAGAAGACAAGTTAGGGGCAAGCAAAGGGGAGGAGGAGTCGGGGATTGAGCACTGAAGTCATTAACTCCCTCAAGCTATATAAAGGCAGTTGCACAGTAAGTAATTTATGCTTAGGCAGCCTTGGCTCGATGGATTTGAACATTCCTTTTAATTTGTGATGGCATCAGCTCCTGCCAAAGCATCATCAGCTCCTGATGTTGGATGCACAGGGGAGCTGAAACTTCTGACAACATGAAGAAAAGGGTGCAGAATATGAAGAGAAATAGGATCTGAAGGAAGAGTCCTGGTAAATAGGTACAGCGGCTTCTTAATTGTAAATAAAAAGATACCTTTTCAGACTGAGCATAATTGAGCTTTAAAAGCCATTCCATTTTATTTGCATCGAGTCACTGACATTAAACTAAATAGATTCTGCTTATTAAGGTTTTGATTGCTTTTTGAATGCCTTTAATGCTGAAAGAGCCTTTGTTTAAAACGTCCACAATTTGACCGGAAGTCTATAGTATTCATGACAGTAATTTTATCCTGTGACACTCCTGTCCAAATTAAAATATTTAAATCCTAAGTACAAGAGATGAGAACATTATGAATTCTGGAAAATAAGGATTTGTCTCATTTTCATAGTATTACCTGAGCAGCTAAACTGTTGATAATACAGTTCATACAAACTTCAGAAGTACAAAGGTCAGGAATATATTTAAATCTTTTGATTAAAAAGCTCAGCCCTTAATTCTTGCAGGAATTCAAATGTTGTTTAATTACAGTCAAGTGAGCAGATACAGCCTGATTTCAGTCACGAAAATCGTATTTGTATGGGTTCAAGGCTGCCAGGATTGAGACATCAGTCAGATATTATTTGTTGTTCTGTTTTCACCACAATTTCCAGAGAACTGTGCTAGCTTCGGGGAAAGACAATTAGAATAAAACAAAGGTGTGAGGAAAAAGAAGGGGAATGAAACTCTTTGATTTTAGTTTCGCCATGAGCAAGGATAGCTGGAAAAATCTCTTTTTGTGTGATAGGTTAATTAAGAATAAACAGACAGAATGTAGAACAGTCAGGAGCTGAACGTGCCAAGTTAAATAGAAATATTTGACTCTATTTGATATTTGTTTTGTCAACTCCTGCCTGTTCTTGTCGTGTCCTGTTTTTTTGGCAGGGTCTCTTGCCGTTCTGGAAAATGCATTTACCACCCTCCTTTACAACAAGTCCTTCGGAAGGAACAGTACACATTTGCCTCCAGAGATGAATACAACTTATCAGCTATACATTCCAGAACTTAACTTGAGTACGTTTGGCAACAACTTTACAGTTCCCACTGTCAAGAGCAAGTCATCACCATGTGAGCAGGTGGTCATTGCAGCAGAGGTGTTTCTGGCACTTGGCATTGTAAGCCTTCTTGAGAACATCTTAGTCATCTGTGCAATAGTTAAGAATAAGAACTTGCATTCGCCCATGTATTTCTTTGTGTGCAGCTTAGCAGTAGCTGACATGCTGGTCAGTGTGTCTAATGCTTGGGAGACCATAACAATATATTTAATAAACAATAGGCATCTAATTATGGAAGATGCTTTTGTACGTCATATAGACAATGTTTTTGATTCAATGATCTGCATATCCGTGGTGGCTTCCATGTGCAGTTTGCTTGCTATAGCAGTAGACAGATATGTCACCATCTTCTATGCCCTACGTTATCACAACATCATGACAGTGAAAAGATCAGGGCTTATTATTGCATGCATATGGACCTTTTGCACAGGCTGTGGCATTATCTTCATTCTTTATTATGAATCAACTTATGTTATTATTTGTCTCATCACAATGTTTTTTACCATGTTATTCCTCATGGTTTCTCTGTACATACACATGTTTCTCCTGGCTCGCACTCATGTGAAGAGAATAGCAGCTCTGCCTGGATACAACTCTGTCCATCAAAGAACCAGCATGAAGGGAGCCATCACTTTGACCATGCTACTTGGCATTTTCATTGTTTGTTGGGCTCCATTTTTTCTTCACCTCATCCTGATGATTTCTTGCCCTCAGAACCTCTACTGTATTTGCTTCATGTCTCATTTCAACATGTACCTCATCCTCATCATGTGCAACTCTGTGATTGATCCTTTGATCTATGCCTTTCGTAGCCAGGAAATGAGGAAGACTTTTAAGGAGATTATTTGTTGCTACAGCTTGAGAATGGTCTGTGGGTTACCCAGCAAATATTAGGAAAACATGTATTTTTGAGTAAGAAACTAAAACCTGTAATTTTTTTCATCAAGAGAATTGTGCATCAAAATTGTTAGTATCTTGTCTGATTTCTGCTGAATGGACTATAAAACATCTTTCTACTTTTTGCTTGTCATGATGATGATTTTTCTTTTTCTTGGGAAAATACAAAGCTGTTTTTCTAGTTTAATTATGTGGTCTATTCTCCCTACCCCGTTCATGCACATCTATAACCCTGGCTGGCATTAATAGAAGTTACCCTATGCATGTGCATCAAAGGGACCACAGAACATGTTGGCACAGATTCAAGTCTCTGAAAGCAATGCATCTTTTACTCCTTGGTCTTCATAGGCTGGGGCTTGCATAGATTGGGTCTGGATAGGCTATTCCTATCTGCTCTAATGTTAAGCACAATGTATATAACCATATATTAGCTTGTGTGATGGTTAATGTGTTTTTTCTGGAGACAAGATGGCTTATTTCACTGTACAGAACAAACAGGTTTCTTGATAATTTCTTCATTGAACATAAAGTTAGAACAGTAACTGTGATTTAGCCATAGGGGAAGAAAATAATCCTTAGATGTAAGGATCCACAGTTTATATCTGTAAAGCCTTGACTGGCACAGATATAACTAAGAACTTCTGTACCAGCATGCAAACAAACACTAGCAATCTTGTAATCCAGTCATGACTGTAACAATCACAAATGACATATCACGCAACCAGCCAAAGTAACTGCAGGAATTCCCAGTATGGATTATAGTATTTTGCAGCACAGATCCATGTCTGCTCCAGCATCCCAATCACTGCATCTGTGAAAAAGGTTTATCATATGCTGGTTTTAAGGTGATAATGCCTCAGACTAAAGACAGAGCTAGTTATACATTTTTTAGGATGTAGAATGCAGTAGTAAGCATAGAGATATATGTGGTTTCCAGGTAAATATCAGTAACCCCTGAAAGATTTTATGGGGAGAAATTTATTGGCCAGAGTGCATGTTAGAGACAAACTGAATTAGGAGATGTGAAGCTTATCAGATAGAAATGATTCTGGGAAACCTTCTAATGGAGCAGGTTGGTCCTATAGAACATTTTTTCGTGGGAGAAATGCAGAGGCATAACTACCAGGGTCTGTGCCATGGGTGGGTGGCAGGGGCTGGGCCAGCTGTGGTAGTGGCTGCTATTCTTATGCCCTCCCCTGCCCCCAAGTGGTTGCCCAGGGCTAGTGCCCTTATTACCCACTTCTGGTTATGTTACTGCAGGCATGGTTATCATGGTGTACTGGAAGTGGGTGCTAGCAAAACAGGTTTCTTAGGAACACAGAAAACCATGCAACCACATATTTTAATATGCCTGAGCTAACATCTGATCTAGTCTTCTTTTTGCTGAGAGGCTGACAAGGTTCATGAGACACAAGAACCCTCACATCTTGTAGGAGCAATTTGTATCCTGTTGTGTTCTCTTAAACATGCTGTTCTGTAACAGCTGGGTAATGTGAAGAATATTGCATTTGTCACAGGTGAAGGGAGTACAATCAAGAACCATAGCATACAATATAGTCTTGACCCACTTCAAAGAATGTTACAGATATATACAACATCCTACCAAATGCTGTATTTTTGCATTAAGCTGTAAGATACATAAAAGAATAGGGTTACCAACTCTGTTTGAGTCTATTCTGGGAGGTTTCATCACATTACTATTACATTTTAAAACCCCACAGGACTACTGTATAAATTGGATTCAACATTTAATATTTATTTTAATGAATGCCCTATCATCTATCTCCCGGGTGACTCTCAGCAGTTTTCTGGAGATTATATCTAATTCTTGGAGACACCAGGGCAATTCTGGAGGGTTGGCAACCCTAATAAAAATCATAAGGTGCTGTATCAAAAGTATGAAAAATATTTAAATCATGTCCAGTGAATGTGAAGCCATTTGAAACCAACTCAAAGACTCATATTGACCCCATGGTATTTGGATTAGGCCTTTAGATGTCAACTGATTGTATTTAGAATCCATCAAAATGATAGGGACTATATTCTTGCCTCAGTTGTACTTGAAAATTATATTTCACCTATTTAACCATAGTCAGAATTTTGCTGTAAGGATGAAGTCCACTGCAGTGCAAGATTCACCATTTAAACCCCACCTAAAGAGGAACTTAAATGGTGCACTGAACCGTCTACTTCACTGCTGATCTGTTAGCACATATAGGTAATGATGGAGGCATACGCACATACTAACTTTCTGACAGTTAAACCAACTTAACTTTTTAACGTTGACTTAACTGTCAGAATGTACACACGTATGTGGAGCAGTTAACTTAAATGCAGAGTAAGATAATACACCTCGGCAGTGTATTATCTCAAGTTGCATTAGTTAAGTCGACTTAGCTCACAAGATGGCTGCCACTGTGTCAAGGAGCTGTGCATGCATATACTCTGATGTGGCTTAACTTAAGTCTACTTAGTTAAGTCACCTAATTTTAAGTCGACTTAGTACGTGTGTTCTTGCCCATAGATAGCAACTATGGGACAATTCATTTAATTTCCAGCAACAGAAGAGATACAAGTAAGGTGGTGTTGTAAATAATTGTAAATCATTAAATAAGAAACTAAATCTAGGAAAACCTTAGGTGTTTTTATGAATTGTACACTGCATTCCCTGCCCCAGCCCGGAAGTTTATTTGATGTAAAAATATAAGTATCTGAGGCAATTAAAGTGGAGGGTTAGAAACCCGTTTAATGTTCAGTATTCTTTGCAATGTATTTCCTACAGTTTATCTGGAAAATTACAGTAGTTTGAGACAACCTGTGGCCCTTCAGTTGATAAATTGAAAATAAAATTCTAACAGAAGGGCATTTTACATCCTGGTCTTCTGTATTTCAATTTGTACTGATAGTATTGTTGAAAGCTTTATGGAAGAAAGTCATGTATGAATAAATATAATTTAAATTTATGTTTTTGCTCCTCCAGCTGTCAGCATTCTCTCCTCTCCCATTACTATCAGCTTTGCATATAGGACATCTGACCGCAGTAGGTGAAACCTGCAAGTAACGTTAATAGGAGATTGGAACAGTGCCTGGAAAAGGCTGTTTTAATAGTATTAAGATGTGTATAAAATTAATACATAGGAACCATCATGCATTTCAGTGTGGTCCCAATAGGTGATTTCATAGTCAACAGTGGAATGAAAACAAATTGGTTGTGTTTCTGTTTATATCCAAGTCTGGAAAAAAGTAAGTATTATTTTTGGTAGTCATCATTATTAGGTTTTAATTAAAAATATGAAACCTCATGATAATAACTTCAAGGGAAACCATAGTAAAAATGAGCTCTGTTAACACCACTCTGTAGTACCAGGGGTTACTACCCTGACTTATACTGCCATTTAGTGACCTTTTAATGGTGGTTCTACTTAGGAGTAATAGACCAGTTTAATAAACAGATCTAAACTAGAGCTGCATGCTATCTAAGAAAAAACCAACACTCCTGTTGAAGGAAACTTGATTACTACTTTTCCATCCATCTACTAAAATGTCTCCTCACTCTAGCTCTGAAAGATGCAAAAGGATAATTTTTGAGACCTTTATCTATTGATACACAAATGCATCTACTCTAGAAGTTTGCCTTTTTTCCAGGTAAAACCAAGAGAAAAAAGAATGGAGAAGTGAATTTGTAGTCACTGGTAGTATTTTATTCTTAATTTATGAGGCATGCCCATAAATATCCATATATTTAATAAATCATTTCCTCTGCACTAATGCCTGGTGCCAGTAGGTGCCACTTATATAGAAGTATAGAAGTCAGTAGGCTAAGGGAGGTTAAAGGGTGGTGAAGTAGATCAGAGAAACCAGGAGACTTGGAATATTGTGACAGAATAAGAGCTGTATCTGAACAGCATCCAGGAAAACTGAGAATCTCAGTGCACAGAGCTGCTCTGGGATGGCTATTCTCTCAGCTTAACTGCAAGCAACCTGAAGGCTGTTCTAAGTTCAGTCGATTTGGTTTGACTGAGTATGTCTACACTGGATGTGCACTGCTTTTGAGGCTACTACCAAAGAATAACATTTGCCCACCTGCTCCCAATCCACCGGCTCAAACCTAGAATTAAAGTGGTGAGGAAGCTCTGGGGTTGCTCCTTGCTTGACGTCTCTGGGCGCATCCAGAAGATGCACGTGCACGTGCGTTTCCCTGGGGACAAACAGCAGCAACACATAGTTGTGCCACTGCTACTTGTCACCGGGGAACACCCATGCAGGCACACTCCGGCTGGCCAAGATCCAGTTTTGCATGGTGTACACTGCCATCACGTGTACCACCCTGCTTTTTTCAAGCTAGTTTTTTTCTAGCTCAGATCAGCAGCATGGGGAACACCTGCATGTGCGGTGCTGCAGCTGGGTCTGTGGTGCCACAGACCGCACATGCACACTTGTCTGGATGTACCCTCTATCAGTCAGAGACAGAGATGTCAAGACCAGTGGTGGGGAGCACCCCTAGAGTGTTCTCATTACCTCCGTTCTAGGTCAGGGGTATACACAGCAGGTATAGTTCGGTAGAGCTTCATGTTTGGTAGCAGACTTGCCACTGGTCTGGTGCCATTGTAGGTACAGCCCAAAAAGCTTGGCTCTTGCACCCAGTGGCCATTGCTGGAGTGCAGGGGTGTTCCAGTCCCCAGTATTTTCATTTGCTGGTGGCCTGGCTCCTGAGGATTTCCCCATACCAAGACAAATCTGAAGATTTCCAGACCTACCAGGCTTCCAGCTGCTATGATGGCTGCAACAACCACCACCCCCACAGCCCCCACAAAACAACCGAGATGGAGTGGGGCAAGGATCTGGCCCATTATTTCAAATGTACATAATCACAACTTATCCCTGTCCCATATCCTGAACAGACATCTATCAGCTGTGAGAGGGCAAAAACACTGTACAGTCTGAGCAGTGACCAGTTGCTGTGTCTAGCTCTGGGTCACTCAGTGGGCATGTCTACA